ACATGCCACGCAACCATACGCCACGCCCCACCACGCTTTAAAAGTTCAGAAATGAAATCTTGAACGCAACTTTAAACCCCATATCACCTCACCTCACCTCACCTCACCTCACCTCACCACACGCCACGCCACCACACGCAACGACACAACACACCACGCCACGCCACACACCACACCTTGCTGTAAAAGTGCAGAAATCTTGAACGCAACTTTAAACCCTGTATAACCTCACCTCACCTCACCTCATGACACCACACGCCACGCACCAGAGCTGTAAAAGTGCAGAAATCTTGAACTTTAAACCCAATATAACCTCACCTCACCTCACCTCACCTCACCTGTATTTTGTTTCAAGCATGCCACAGGGGCACTCATAAAGATGTTTAGGTATGACCTTTGGAACTTTAGTGTGCCAAAAAGAACAACATTTTTTTATCTATCTTCGATCTCGGTGAAAGTCATTTTACCATGAGCTTGCTAAAAACAGATGTTTGTCCTCTCCTTGCCTTGAGAAATATTCAGTTTCTGAATCACCATGACTAATTTAACTGCCCATTATGTACATAATATCATGTGTTCATTTCCCATGTGATCGACCAGCTGTCTTGTGCCAAAGCACACTGAGCATGGACTTCATATCATAAACAATTTTGTTTTAAAAATCTGATTTCTGAATGTGCCCATAAAGCAGTGTTCGGAATGAGTGCCAGTCCATTGGCCCATGGCTGGTAGATCTCATATCAGGGCCAATAGTTTGAAGTTTGTATGGGTCCTTTGGCTTGCGGTAAATTTACGTGTCAAATTATTTGTCACAATAATTTGCATTTTTTTAAATGAGAGCCCGAAGAGTTTAGTCAGAGTCTGTGGGTCCTGATGGCAGCCTGACAATATTATTTATTTCAAACACCTCTATCAATCAAACACCACAAATATATTATATATGAATATATAGATAAATCAATACATGGGAACTTGAGGCATATTGTACTTTGTGTAAATGTAAGCTGTATCTCCACATCAGTAAATCGTTGTAAAACTTAGTCATATTATTTTTTTAAATATCTAATACCAGGAACTTCAAACCTTCTATATATACATGAAATAACATCAAACATCAGATCTTCCACCATGATAATCTAGACAGTGAATACTGTTTTAAAAATTTCCATAATTTAACATAACCAGCAGTTGTTACTCTGTTAAATATGATAATTGATTGTGTCTGAATTTTAAAACCTTTTCTATGTTTCCAGTAAACAGTTGAAGTATAATATGTCTGAGAAATACGACATGTATGAGGCATGGTGAACAGCATGACAAATGGTCTCTTTTCAGGTACCATCAGCATCACGGAAGAGCTGTTACCTTTGTGATACACAATAAAGCATCAAGTCACAGAGTGGGCACGGGTGGCCCAGTCGTCTAAGGCTCCGCGATTCGCTGTGCAGAGTTGTGTCCCTTGGGCACGCCAGAAACCTATGATTGTGGGTTCGAATCCCGGTTCGCCCCGATTCTGTTTCTAGGTTTGTCAGCACCATACCCATGCTCGTGGGTTTCACCGAAGTGGTAAACGTCTGAGACCTGCATCACTTCAGGCTTTCCTACCACATTAAGCTGACACGCCGTGACATAACTGGAATACTGTTAAAAGCGGCGTTAAACCCAACTCACTCACTCACTCACTCAAGTCACAGACTGTCAGTACATATCATATTCGGGGGTCTTACCTGTAAATGTTATTTCATGCAGCTCTTGATGTGAAACCAAATTGTATATGTCTGTACATGGGCCTGAGGCCTTATTACTGAATAAACTGATTGATTGATATTAGGGGGTCGTGATTTTACTGATGTATAGATACAGCATGAAAGTACACGAAGTATGATACGCCAAATATGGGTCATTATATAATTCTGTTTTGAGAGACTCAAAGATAACCAATATGTTTCATCATGTTGCTAATGTTAATTAGAAACACGTTTTCAAAATGGAAAACAGGAAATCTGGTAGTAAGTGGAATAAGGATTACATGTGTCAGCATCAGTTAAACAGCTTATGTTGTGTTCTTTTTTCCAAAGTAGCATGTTACTTGTTACCTGTTAAATACATCAGCATTAATTCCTATTTCACATGTTTCACATTACAGCATAAAATTTGACAGATTTCAGACTCAAATGACCAAAGATGACTTCATCATAATACACAAAAAGGATAGAAACATGATAAAGCCATTTTACCTACTAACTGAAGCCATTTGACATGTTTTCTGTAGTATTTAAGGTGGAGGGGGGACAACTCTGTTATATGAGGATTTTATCTTTATTGGCACTTCTATCATTAACTCGAAACCACAAATCATGTTTGTTTGTTTGTTTGTTTCATGCAGCACTCAGCAATATTCCAGTTGATGTATGATAGCAAGCAGATAACTGGGTCTGGATTAGACAATACAGTGATTGACATCATAAGCTGTGATCCACGCAATTGCGATCCAAAGATAGGATTTCAACTAAGTCACCGAGCCATATCACACAATCTATTAAGGTGCTTCTCCCGACAAGCTTAAGCTGATGGGGACCTTCATAGTAAATATGTGTCAGTGAGTTAATCAATGTGAGTTCTTCATACCCTAAAAAATCTATTAAAAATTTAAACGTTTCAGGGTTTTTTGATCATGTTGAAATGGCAGACCACGTCAGGAAGATCAATATCCTCCTTCAATTCTAACACTGACAGATACATAATTTGCATAAAAAATAGCTTTGGGGAAACACTACAAACACCCCAGAGGTAGAAAAGAACACATAATTCTTCTTAAAACGGTTGAGGTTTTACTCCAAGCAAAATACACCATCCCATTTGGCATTGTAATGGAGAATGGATGCAATTAATATGCAGTGCAATTCCCATGGGACTACAAGAGAATGGCTGTTTCAGCCTGTTTGAGTCATTCATACAAGTCAGCTGCAGTTACATGTTAGTTTTAACAGATATTGTGATCATGCTGATAAGAAACAGAAATAAGTTTGGACTTCAGGTTTCACAAACTTTCTACTTTCATTAATTGACCATCACCCCCAGACATTCTTTAACTTTCAAAAGACCCTAGGATGAAACTACATCCAGGGTTTTTTGTTTGTTTATTGTTGAATGTCGCACTCAGATATATGACAGCAATCTGTAAATAATCGACAATCCAGTGATTGATATCATGAGCATCGATTCACACAATTGGGATACGATGTCACGCATCAACAAGGTCAGCAAGCCTGACCACCCGATCCCCTTAGTCGCCTCTTACGACAAGCATAGGCGCCTTTTACGCCCACATTTTAAGTTTGATGGGGGTTTACAGATAGTATCAGCACGTTCAGGTACCAAATTGGCATAAATTTACTTATGATGCTTATATTACTTACAAATCTAAGAGAATATTGAAAGAATTTCTTTTATAGGTAAAACTACCAGACATTCACCTTCCTAAAAATATATGTATGAAAAGCACCACTTTGTAAGTATTACACCCAAAAAAATAGGTAGGCAAAGGTAATATGGTAATCTGTCCCTTTTGTTACCCCTACATTCTTTAGAAGATAGACACAGACAACATGGCATTGTCAACAACAGTGGAGCATATGTAAAGAAATCTTTAAAAGGTTTCAAAATTGACCGGGTGTTCTTTTAATTCCAAAATGAATTTATAATCTTTCCGACTTTCTTGAGTATAGGTGAGGTGAGGTGAAGTTGCGTTTAACGTCGCGTACAAGATTATTGCACTAAAATAGCGACGTGTGTGTGTGTGTGTGGCTGCTTGTACTAGTCCGGACTGATGCCGATTTATAGTGCTAGCTCACTGAGATACCATGCAGCAGTTTAACATGAATACCACACTCAGACACAGTATATGGACTCTGAGCCGACCAGTCTTTGTTTTAGCCCCTTAATGCCGAGCGCCAGACAGGGTAACAACAAGTACCATCTTTTAACGTCTTTTGGTATGTCGCAGCTGGGGATAGATCCCCTGACCTTCCGCTCTACGGGCCGACGCTCTACCACTAGACCACGGAGGCGGTCTTCTTTACTATAAGTCAGTGAGTGAGTATAGTTTTGCGCCACTTTTAGCAATATTCTCGCAATATCACGGCGGGGAACACCAGAAATGGGCTTCACACATTGTACCCATGTTGGGAATCGAACCTGGGTCTTCGGCATGACGAGCGAATCTTTACTGTAAACTTTTTAACATGTTTAATAAAGATATACCAATCAGGCAATATATTATATCTTCAAAGACTTTCTTTGTATCATGCTACTAACAATACATTATTAGCTTATTGTAAAAATTGAATGTGGTACTTTTTGCGATTATTGAATGATTTACTGTATATAGTCACTTTGTTTTGATCTTATTTTCAAATTCTAATTCATATATTTTATAGGCAAGGTAATTTCCCTTGTAAAGAAAAAAAATTACACAGACCATGGACCAAGAGTCTAAAACCGTGACATTCCAGTAACCCTCAATGAAAACCATGCAGCACAGTCGTGCAAGCTTCCGTGCCGGTATTGTGAATTCAGGTGTATCAATTTTTACCTGTAAATTGTGATCATATCACCTGTCACTTGCCCGTTTCCGCTATAAAAAATTACAAACTGTCCCTACCTGTCAAATCAGCAAATTCTGGTTTCACTTGTTCCTGAGACCTGTCAACGGAAGTACGGAAAGGCCTTGACGGCAGGTTTCGAAACAACAGGTCATTCGAAAGAAGTGAGGGATCACTTCCTACTTTCAGTATCAATATGGCGACGTTTTCTCGTTTCCTCGAGAAAATAATTCAATCAGAGAAATGTCCGCGATATATATTGGAAATATTTTACTAAACTGAAATTAACAGACTGTTATTTATTATGCATGTTATCAATCTATAAAAGTTATTTCCAATATGTTTAGCGCACCTGTTTATCAACGCCTCCTATCGGCAAGCGATGTAGTTAAAATTATCACTTCCGTCTTCGGCCGGCTGTCAGCTGAGAGGTAAATCTCACACGCGTGATCACAAAAGGGCGCGTGATCATGGTAATGATTTTATGTTTGAAACTTGGAATCTGTTTCCTACATGACTCCGTTTTCGCTATTGTTGGATAAGTAGTTACCTTCGATTTTATTGATTTTCTTATTTTCAGAGCAAGCATATCTCGAGGTAGACAGTCGTCTGCATCAACGTCAAAGAGGACGACCTTCTGTTGGCCAGTGATTTGACCGTGCCACAACGAAATGGACATCTTGCTTCGACCAGTCTGATTACATAATGCCAATGTATTGTGTTTTCTATAGAGCCCAGACGATCGGCGCGTGCCAACTGCAGCTTTAGTGAGGTGCCCTTAATTAGTCGCGATAAGGTAGGACTATTGTCAGCCACTGTAGCCTTTTGTTTATTGAACTGCAGAGATAGTTACTCTTACAAGCTCGGGCAAAAATTTACAAATCAAAGTTGATGAATTAATTCTTGGCTAATTTGTGCCAGTCTTGTACAATGATGTTCACCAACAGTTGTGTTGTACCATGAGATCAAAGAGAATGCATTGATAGGATATCAGTTGATGAGGAACCAAAATTGATTGGGGAGTGTAATATATATTTTACTTCTTAAACCCTAATTTTGTTTCCCCACCCCACAAATCAATGATGATGAATGAATTCTTTTCTAATTTGTGCCAGTTTTGTACAATGATGTTCACCAATAGTTGTGTTGTGCCATGAGATCAAAGAGAATGCATTGATAGGATATCAGTTGACGAGGAACCAAAACTAAATCCTTATTTGGTTTCCTCACCCCACAAAGAAAACGCTGAATACAAATTTGTAGAAGGCCTTCTGACAGTACCCCCCTCCAAAAGTTATATATCTTTACATATACTGTGTTTCTTCCAACTATATAGCCTATATTATATATGGGTGGATACAGAAGTCTTTCCCAGTTGTGATAGTTTTATCATTTTGCTTTGGATGTATAAAATACCTCTGGATTTAAGTAGAAACTTTACAAAAATAAACGATAATGTATATGGGTTTTTTTTAACCAAAGTGCTACAAGACAGACAAGTGTTTTGTCCAACCCTGTGGCATAATTACAAGTATGACAGTTTAATTCATGTCATCTGGTGGGGGGGGGGGGGGGGGCGGTCGGGTAGCCCAGTGGTTAAAGCGTTCGCTCGTCGCGCCAAAGACCCGAGTTCGATTCCCGACATGGGTACAATGTGTGAAGCCCATTTGTGGTGTCCCCCGCCGTGATATTGCTGGAATATTGCTAAAAGCGGCATAAAACCATACTCACTTACTCACTCATGTCATCTGGTGCCAATGGTTGCATGCTGCACAACCAGAGACTGCTTGTTTCATTGTTTTTAACACTACACTCAGCAATATTCCAGGATTAAAAACTCAGAATGCCCAAAGGGGAACATTACTATGACATTTAAACAAACCATGTTTAAATCCCACATTGTGATTGGCTAATAATAACACTCAAATTCTCTCATCTTGGTTTGGTACCAAAATATAAATTCACAACACAATGTCTTTAAATGATGGTGGTGCAAAATGTGTTGATGAATTTTTTCCAACCAGACCATCCTTCAAATTCATGTAGAGAAGGTCAACAAATTTTGAACAACCTTATTAACGATGTACTGGTGGGCAGGACAGGTAGAAAGCATACGTTTTATAGCAATGTATGTATACTCACACGCAAAAGAAACGCAAGCGGTTTTAAGCAAATTAGTACCAAACACGGAAACATAAATTGATACGAGTTTTAGCATGTTGTGAAGCCTGATGGTGTTATCAATATTTTTGGTTGCATTTTGGAAGCCCAGTGTAAAAACGCAACATAAAAAATGAATTGCCAAAACGCACCATTTCAATGAATATGTGGGTATCATGCACCCATTTCTCGCGAAATCGAAAATGGACGAACTGTCATGAGCTGTAGTGGGTATAAAACTGTGGCTGATTCTTGGACCTACCACTCCTTGGTCAACAATGCCCCGCCTAACTCAAATTCAGAGAAACCAGGCTATCGGAGGTTTGGAAGCTGGAGAGTCTGTCCAAGATGTTGCCTGTCATTTCAAAATTAACATGACCACAATTTACCGTCTCCTGCATCAATACAATGCTACACAGACCACAGATGACCTTCCTCGGAGCAGTCGTCCTAGGGTTACCACACCTCGACAAGATTGACAGATTACCCGTCAACGCCAGCGACATCTGCTCCTAACTGCAAGTGAAAGTGCTCGACAGACCATAGGAACACATAATCGACACATTAGCTGGGACACTGTGATCCGACGTCTCCGTTCCAACAACCTCAGATGTCGCCGACCAGCACGTCGTCCTGTTCTCCAACCACAGCATCGACAAGCACGACTTCAGTGGGCACAGGGTCATCACAATTGGCATCATCGTGAGTGGAGGCGTGTCATCTTCCCTGATGAAAGTCGCTTTTGTGTCTCCGATGCAGACGGAAGAGTCAGAATTTGACGGCGTCGAGGTGATCATTTCGCTGACAGAAACGTTGTGGAAAGGGATCCATGGGGTGGACCTAGCATCATGATATGGGCAGGGATTGGACTTTGCTTTCTGAATGTTTGTCAAGGTCGAGGACACTGCTCAGCAGTATATCGACCAAGTAATCAGACCCCACGTTGTTCCATTTTTTGCACAACATCAACAACGCATTTTCCAGCAGGACAACGCTCGTCCCCATGTTGCCAGAGCTACCATGGCCTTTCTGCAACAACACAACATCCGTGTTCTACCTTGGCCAGCCCTCAGCCCTGATCTTAACCCCATCGAACACTTGTGGGATGAGGTTCAAAGGCGTCTGCACAATGTGCGCCCATTCCCCACAACTGCCGATGAACTACGCACAGCTGCTCTGGATGTGTGCAGGAGGATCCCTAGGGCCTTCACAAATCGTCTGATCCACTCAATGTACAGGAGATGTGTGGCAGTGATCAATGCTAATGGTGGTCACACCAGGTATTGACTGACATTTTGGTTATTGACCCGAAACTGTGTAAGCCCTTAACATTTGAAAAAAACTATGTCATCTGCCTTTTAATCCATTAAACTGTCTTCAGTAAAATGTTTGTCAATCTTGCCCTATTAGTATTTCTTGTCTTTATTGTTGAAAACTAATAATATGTATACATACTCGACTTGCATTTCTTTTGCGTGTGGGTATATATATAACTATTTTATCATACCAGTACTCAATTCTACAACAAACAAGCATTACGATACTTATTAGTTTTAAAAAATGTGTCCGGGTACTCGTCAGTTCTGATAATGACAGTACATTACTTATATGGTTAAAAATGAAATGTAGCACTGAAGTTTGAATAAAAATAGTTCAAGAGTTTCTAACAGATTGAGTTGTTTGACTTGGTAATTATAGTTTCCTTTAGACTAGTTGAGACAAATTCAGTTTTTCCATGCAGTCATAAATGATTCACTACACACAGCATTGAGTGAGTGCTTGTCACAGACAGGATATTGAGCTCGCTGAAGAGGGTTATGGACTAGTTCTTCAGGGATGTTGATGACTACTAGCCAACATTGTTTATGATCAAAATCTGTCTGAGCATGAAATAATACTGGCATTCACATTTTTTTTACCATTCTCTCACATGTTCAGCTAGTACATTGTAGTATGCCAGACTTGCCCGACCCATAAAAATGAAGTGCCGGCAAGTGGGAAAATATAATTTACTTGCCCTTTGGCAAGTATAAAAAACGGCAGTATTAACTTAAAAATTTAGAAGATGCATCGTGTGTTTGTCAGCTGCAGATGAAGTACCTGAGTTGTCATTTTTTCTTTTCTGCACATCCCAGTAAAGATCCAGGTTAGCATGGTTAGAATAGGTCTTCAGAAACCCATGCTTGCCGTAAAAGGCGACTATGCTTCCTGTAAGAGGCAACTAACGTGATCTGGTGGTCAGGCTTGCTGTCTTGGTCGAATCATGTCATTGTATCCCAGTTGCATAGATCGATGCTCAGGATGTCAATCACTGGATTGTCTGGTTACAGACCTCTGTCATAAAGCTGGAATATTGCTATTCTGGTCATTCCCATTACCTGTTGCTTCAGTTGATAAAGTTTTGTTGTTAAAATTTAAGTTTTCTTCTTTTCTCTGATTTTTGCAAGGCAACTTGAAAATTAGGCTGGGCAAGTAGAATGTGTAAGTTTACCTGCCCTTGGGCAAGTAGGAAACTTCGGTACTTGAACACCCCTGCCTTATATTTAAGTTAAACATGATGTAAGAGTGAGGAAATAATGTTCAGTCAACATTGAGATAATTAACTGACATGATGGATGTGTTTGAAGTAGTGAATATTTGAAATGGGCCAAGTATCAGGAAGAGACTTTGTTACCTCCACAGCTGTCATTGTTTGACATATTCATTCAGTGTTTCCATTTGTTAATATATCAGTCATAAACCTGATCTTTTACTGTCTCCCACTGGTATTATTATTCAGCATATCAAGATAATATTTTACAGTCAGTATTTGGATTTCATATAAGTGGCAATAACATTGATATTTTATGATTCACATATAATGAAAATAGATTTTTTATCATATTAAATGTGCATTACAATTGGCTCTTGTGTTGGAGGTAAAAAAGTTGGGGTGGTACAGTGGTTAAAGTGTTCACTTTGCACACAAAGGCCCGGGTTCAATTCCTAAAACCCAACTCACTCACTCACTCATCAAAAGGCTTGTAGTTGATACACAATGTAGCTGTTATGTCAACCTTATCTGTGGAAAAGACTATCCCCGATGTCCCCATTTCCTTTTGCATTATATCATGGCTTGAAGATTGCATCTGATGGTCCAGAAGAGCTACCTATTTCATGGTCCAGCAGAAGTTTCTCTCTGATGGTCCAGTAGAGCTTTCTGACTGATGGTCCAGTAGAAGTTTCTATCTGGTGGTCCAGTAGAGCTACCTATTTCATGGTCCGGTAGAAGTTTCTATCTGCTGGTCCAGTAGACGTTTCTATCTGATGGTCCAGTAGAAGTTTCTGTCAGATGGTCCAGTAGTACTTTCTGTCTGATGGTCCAGTAGAAGTTTCTATCTGATGGTGCAGTAAAACGTTCTATCTGATGGTCCAGTAGAGCTTTCTGTCTGATGACCCAGTAGAGGTTTCTATCTCATGGTCCAGTAGAAGTTTCTATCTGATGGTCCAGTAGAAGTTTCTATCTGATGGTCCAGTAGAAGTTTCTATCTGATGGTCCAGTAGAAGTTTCTATCTGATGGTCCAGTTCAGCTTTCTATCTTATGGTCCAGTAGAGTTCTCTATCTGATGGGGACCACCTCCATGGTCTAATGGTAG